GTTTCTCCATCCACAGAAGGAATAAATAAGGAGATAAGGGATCGCCTTGTCTTAATCCTCTAGATGGTTTAAAAAACTCCATCTGAGAGCCATTCCACATAATAGACAAAGAGGCACCCCGATTGCCCCATATAATGAGACTCAATTCTTCCCGGGAACCCAAATTCCAAAAGAGTATTTTGTAAAAACTCCCAATGAACTCTCATAAGCCTTTTCCAGATCCACCTTTATAGCGAGTAAGCCTCCTTCCCCTTAAAACGGTTGATGTGATGCATTGCCTCTTGTGCAATAATAGAATTATCCTTTGTACCTCACCCTGGCAAGAAACTACCTTGTAGAAGACTGATAAGATCCTAAAGCAAAGGTCGAATACGGTTAACCAAAACCTTAGAAATGATCTTGTAGCTTACATTACATAAACTGATGGGTCGAAGATCTTTCCACGAGGAGGGGTTGTCTTTCTTTGGAATCAACGTGATAAGAATTTCTAGCAACCTAGTATCAACCCTAGCATCCTGAAAAACATCATTAACTAATTTCCAAATATCCTTACCAATGATGCCCCAATATTGTTTAAAGAAGAATGGTTGGAATCCATCGGGCCTTAGGGCTTTAAATGATTTCGTACCCATCATAGCTCTACAAACTTCTTCAAAAGAGACTGGTGCCAATAAGGTTGAAATAACAGCCCAGTCGAGCTGAGGTAAATTATGTAGAACCAAATTGCTAGGTTGAATTGAGATATCTGTAGAGAAGAGATCCATGTAATATCTCTGGGTCTTCTGTCGTAACACAATTGGATTAGTGCTCCATGAGCTATCATTTAAGAATAAACCATGTATCTTGTTTCTATTTCTACGGACCAAAGTTTGTGCATGAAAGAACTTGTTGTTACGATCACCAAACTTTACCCAATTCTCTCTAGATTTTTGGAACCACAAAAATTCTTCCTGTATAAGCACATCATCATATTCTTGTTGAGTTCGATTCTCTTTCAAGCCTAAGAAGGGCTTCTGATGTGGAGGCTTCCAAACTTGTTTGAATTCCTTTCAATCTGGCAAGAACTCGAAACTTCCTCTTCTTAATATTACCAAACACTTGATTATTGAAAAGAAGGGAGTTTTTCTTCACATACTTTAGTCTTTCAGCAATGTCGGGCATGCCTTTGTGCCAAGCAGAGGATACAACATGCTGAAAATTCTTATGTGTAGCCCAAGCAGCTTAAAAATGAAAAGGTTTGAAAATGATATACATATGTTGATATGTTGTATGTTAAATATGTTGTAAAGTTGCTAGTCATTTTAAGTTGACTAAGATAATTGTAATTATTATTCTATTGAAGTTGTTTATGATGTATAATGTTTAAGTTGTTCAAGCTTTTAAGTTGATTAGCTATTAACATGTGGGTTAGATACATATGTTGGATATGATACATAAAAATTAGAAAGGAGTAAATTTTTTTTTTAAAAGTTGAATATCCCATTGTATGAATATACGTTGTAGTGTTCCGAGAGCTTGTTGAAAATCTTTTAGTAGGTAAGTTGATCTCTGAATGGATAAGTTATTTTTAATTGTCTACTCTAGGTTTTATGTGGTATCTGAATAAAGTATCGGATCAGGGATTTAGTCTCTAACTTAATATTGGAAGGGCATAGTATTTGGAGGAAAATCAGTGAACTAATCTCATAAGAAGAAGAAAAGAACGGAGAACTTCGAAGTAGAAGAAGAGAAGGAGAATACGATCCTACACTTAAAGTTCCCAACCCCAAAGCTCAAACTTCCTCACCCCCTTCTAGTGATCAAGTGTAAAAAATGGTAAGGAAAGAAAATTTAAGTGAAAAATGAAAGGGAGAAGAAAAAGGGAAAGAAAGAATAAGCTCTCTCTTTTTGAGTCATATTTTACAATAATACATTTTTTTTATAAATTATTTATATTTTATTATTTAATATATTTTTTATACAATAAATATAAACATATGGTATAAAATAAAGCTGTAACAAAAAAATATAATATAAAATAAATAATATAATATTAGTATATATTATTCAATATATTTCATACAATAAACAATATAAATTTTATGATATTAAAATACACAATATAACATTGTTGGTGCCTTAAATGAGATAAAAAAAATATAGTTAAAAAGAAATAAATAATGCCATAGCCATCATCTCCATGGCACGGGCTATCTGCTCATTGGTTGTAGTCATTGTCTACAAAAGTAACAGCATCTTTAGTATACAATAACTAAACCAAATAACAATCAACAACACAGCAAAACATCACAGCAATCAGCACAACAAACAACACAGCAAGACAACACAACACAGAGCTCAGCACAACAAAAGCCTAAAGGAACCACCCACAAAGAGTGTCCACTAGACTCGAACTGCTCTGATACCACTAAAGTGTAACGACCCAGCTGGTCACTACACTCTGCACAGCACACTAGAAACACCACACAGAAAGGAACAAGTGTATACATATAGGGTCTAAAATATATACATATACAAGGTCCAAGTCTGGATAGAGTTAAAGTGTACAAAATACATCAAATGCTACTACACCAAGCAGCTAAAACAACAAAACATCCTAATATATCAGCTCCGTCTGCCAGCTGCAACTCACCACCAGCTACTAACCTATCCCTACTCTGCTCCCATACATAGTATGATCATCGCAGTCCAAACACCATGGAAACAACAAAGGGTAAGCTAGTGAAAACAAATCAACATACATATATAACAATATGAATGGTAAACAGCTACAGCTATCAACGCAACAACCAGCTTATACCACACCACAGCATTCGGCAATATCAGCACCGCAAAGCGGCAATATCAGCACTGCATAGCAGCAATAACAGCACCACTCTAGTGGCTATAACAGCACCGCATAGCGGCAATAACAGCACCATCTTAGTGGCTTATAACAGCACCACAATAGTGGCTATAATGACACCGACATAGCGGCTATAACAGCACCACAATAGTGGCCATAACCAACATACAGCTCAGCAATATATGTAACAGCCCATTTTTCGTGGGCCAAAGGCCCAATTCGTGGCCCAGAACGGGCTGTTTCAATTTTAAAACGGGTCGTTCTGGAATAGTGAGTATGGCCA